CCTCACCGGGTCCCTCCTGTCTGCTGTTGGCAGCGCGCCCAGCAGTCCCCAGCTCAGCTCCCACCCCCGTGCCCCGTGAGTGCAGCCTGTACCGTGGCGCCAGTCCCTGCTCTGAGGCAGGGTATGCAAGGCCTCGTCTTTGGCCATAAATTAACCACTGGGAATCAGACACAGGGAGAGGGAGGAAGCGCCCCACAGTGGGCCTGGTCACACTGCAGTCCCTGCTCTTCCCCTTCAACACCCTGTTGGGGTTAGGGCGTGTCTTCAAGCTGCCGAGTTTGGGATTTGAACTGCAGTCAGGCATGTGGTATGCAGCTCCTTAACCGCTGGGCCCTGGGACTGGCCCTCTGTCGGTTAGTAGAGCATATTCACGCTCATGATTATGTTAAGTGCGTGGTAATTACAGGACACTGGGCTTCCGTGTGTGCCCAGAACCCTGAGGGGAAGTGGGGACAGGGCGTGGAGCATGGCCGTCCCTCATGGGATGTGCTTTCTTGTTTTCCCTCTCTTTCTCTGTCTCTCTCCAGAAAGTACACACGCCCTCTAGCAAATTAGAATAAAGTAAATCGAAAAACTCCTGGGGCTAGCCCTGTAGCCCAGTGGTTAAGGTAGCCAGAGCCTACAGGGTCAGCTGCTGTGGAAATCCCAGCCCTGGCAGCTCCTGGGACAGGCCGAGTGCCCACATGTGCACCCAGCCCCAGCGGGATGGAGGAGACAGGACTGCCGTGTGACCACACCTCATCGGGCGCTTTCTTCCTCGCTGTCCTCCAGCTCTGGGGAGTGTGTGCACCAACAGGCATTAAAAGTCTTCAGGGGCCGGCAGGTGGCGTGGTGGTGGGGATGCGGGACACCCCCATGCCCGACCACAGTTCAAGCCTTGGACCCGGCGGCTTGCTTTCTCATTTTCCCTTTCTTTCTTTCTTTCTGTCTCTTTCTGGTCAAATTTAAAAATATTTTTAAAATTTGACCAGAGAGGGACAAGAGTGAGAGAGGGAAAGTGAGAGAGCAGGCGCCAGCCCGGGACTCGAGCGCGGTCTGCTGCGTGGGAGTCCAGTGCCTCACCACCACGCCGCTCCCCGAAGTAAACAGTTTTTTTTTTTATAGAGTTTTTTGCTATAGGGCGCGTGTGCTTGCCAGAAAGACTGAGAGAGAGACAGACAGACAGAAAGTGAGAAATCACCCCCCGGGGTATGGCTACGCCGCAATCCCTTCTCCTCCATTCTCCTCTCGGGATCTGGGCACGCACGCACATGCACCCGGTGTGAGTTTAAGCCACCGGGTCCGGGACTCAAACTGCGGTCGACTACATGGGAGTCCAGCGACAGCCATTACGCTAACTGCTGGTCCCCAAAGTAAACAATTCTTTAAAAAAGAAATCTTCCAAGCAGACATCAGGAGGGCATATTGTAGGTTCTGTCTCTGTTTACTAAAATCCTGAATATTTTCCCTCTTCCTACATCTTTCTAATGAAAACACAGCGATTCTTGCCATAGGGCACCTGTGCACTTACAAGAGAGACAGAAAGTGAGAAATCACCCCAGGGGGATGGCCATGCTGCCTGTCTCCTCCGTTCTCCTCTTGGGATCTTGGGCACGCACGTACATGCGCCCGGCGTGAGGTTTAAGCCTCTGGGTTTGCGACTCGAACCGCTGTCAACTACGTGGGAGTCCAGTGACATAGCCGTTACACCAAGAGCATTTTAGAGCACTTTTAAAACCACAGATGGGCTCTAGTCTTGTAGCAGCTCACTTCCTTTGGAAGCCCAGGGGCAGGAGCATGGGGAGCCCAGCCACAGCATGATGTGTGTCCCCGGCTGCACGGCCCACCCCTGTGTCCTCATCTTCCCGACGGCTTCCTGGCCCTTGGGGTTTTCTCGGAGGCTCTCGGGTACCAACTGGCCATCAGGACAGTGCTGGGCCTCCCTGTTGGGTCGGGGCAGAACCAGGGGACTGTGTGTGGAGAAGCTCCTGGCCCTCCTGGATGCTGCACAGCCTTCCCACACACGCCCTGTAAGGCTGACCCTGGAGGGGCTGCGGCTGTCCCCAGACCTCCCCAAACCCCCCGGGGCATGCTGCACCCCGTCCAGGCTGGCTGAGGCTGGAGTGGGGGCCTCTGCCTGTCTGCCCCTCGTGGGACACACTCGTAAGCACAGAAAAGGGAAGCCACACCCCTGCCCAGCCCAGCTCCTGGACGCTCTGCACAGTCCCACAGGGACCATGGGGACCAGGACTGAGGCCAGCATCCTGCAGCAGACAGTCTCGGGACCCCGACCCCGCTGGGTCAGAGGCAGGTGCAGGCAGCGTCTCCGGGCCTCCACTGCTGACCGCTGTGAGTGTCCACCGCAGCCGCTAGAGGCCTTCACGCTGCTTCCTGGGACCTGCTCTGAGTCTTGAGCTCATTCTTCTTCTCCAAACCTGGGACTTTTTTTTTTAGAGAGATTTTTGCTCTAGGGCAAGTGAGAGACGGAGAGAGAGAGACGAGAAGCACAAGTCACCCCAGGGCTGGCCACGCCCGTCCCTTCTCCTTCACCCTCCTCGCAGGGTTTTGGGCACGGGCACGCACACACGTACACAGTGAGTTTCAAGCCGCAGGGTCTGGGACTCAAACTGTGGTTGGCCCTGTGGAGTCCAATGACGTAACTGTTAGGCTATCTGCTGGTCCCCAAATCTGGGATATTCTCCGCCAGGTTCGAACACTTTTCCAGGGCCAGCAGGCGGTGTGGCAGTCCAGGCACCGGGTCTCACCTGGCAGACTTCATGGTTTAGGTCGCAGACCTGAGGGCTTGAAGCACACCGTGCACACTGTAGTTTAAGTGCCCGCATCTCCATGTTTCTTCTCCTTTTTTTAAACTTGCTATAGGGTACATGTTCTCATCAGAGAGACAGAGATAGAGAGGGAAAATGACAACACACCCCCGGGGGTTGGCCATGCCACTGTCCCCTCTCCTCCATTCTTTGGGATTTGGGGCACGCACGCACATGTACCTGGAGTGTTTTGAGCCACCCGGTCTTGGACATGACCTGAGCAGCCGCCACACCAGCCGCTGCCCTTCATGTGACTATTGTACCTTTTTCTTTGCTGAGCTTTTCTGCGTCTTCGCCGCCTGTCGAGGCGTGTTTCCGATGACTGCTCTGGAGCCTGGTAACCGGTTGCAGCCCCTTCTGCAGTCCCTGCCTCCTGCCGCTGGCCTTCCTCATCCGGCTGAGCGGCTGCTTGGGTACGGCGGGTGGTTTTGCTCGTGTCTTAGACATTTCGGGTTTTCTGCTGCGAGGCTGTAGACCCTGCTGCTTTCCCACTTGCAGGTGGTCACCGCTCACCTGTAACAGGTCCGAGTGGGACTGGAAACCGCTCCGGCCCGCGGAAGCCCCACGTGGCGCTCCAGCCCCTCGGTGGAGGCGCACGCTGCGAATGTGCACGGCAGGCGACCATCCGGTGCCTCTCAGTGCCGTGTTTCACCCCTACAGGGACAGGGATCGCGAGATCGTTCGCCTCCGGGAGCAGAGTGAACATCTGGAGCGGAGCTTGGAGAGGAGACTCGAGGAACTGTCCGGCGAGCTCGCCCTGCAGAGACAGGTACCGCCCAGCCCGCTGTGATGCCTGCTTCCCTTCAGCCCTCGCCCGTTCGGGCGGGCCCGGTGGGCTGTCAGCAGTGCACCGCAGTGCAGTGCCGGAAGCCGCGTGGCTGACCGTGCCTTGGCCTGCAAACCCATCAGGTGCGTGCGCTCGGCCTGAGGAGCGGAGGACCGGGGACAAGACTCGCTCCCTCTCTGTCATGCGTGTGCTCACACACCGTGAGGAAGGGCACACGGCGAAGGGGAAGGCGCCCGCCCGGCTGGCTAACGGTTCTTTGCATCAGTGCAAGGAGCTCTTCTGGGGGCTCTGGACGGTCCGTGGGGGTAGGATGGGTGCCTGGCTCTTCCCCGCCCTGTGTCGGGATTCCGCAGAGAGGCGGAGCCTGCAGAGCTCTGACTCGGGGTCATGGAGGCGAGGCCCGCCTGCCGGCCGAAGACAGACGCTGGGGCCGGGGATGGCTCATCTGGGACCCTGAGCTACTGGTCTCAGGCCGGGTCCAGGTCCGAAGGCCTGGAAGCCTGCAGCTTCTGTGTCTAGGGGCAGGAGAAGACAGCCGCAGGTCAGGCGGAGAGGGAGCTTTCTGTCGGGTCGGCCCCGAGTGGACCGGGCAGTGCCCACCTCCTTGGTGAGAGCGTCCCTCCGCTCAGCCTCAGCTGGCCTCCGGAGGCGCACTCACAGACACCCAGAAGTGGTGCTTTGCCAGCTCTGTGCCTTCCCACACGCAGTTAGCCATCGCGCCTCGGCAAGGTTAGGCGTTTTCTTAAGTATTTGAGCAAAAAGTGTTACTGAAAGACATGGGGGTCAGGGCTAGTAGGTGGAATGGAAGTTAAGGAGGCTGGCTCAACTCCATGGTTCGAGTCCCAGACCTGGCAGCTGAAAAACACGGGGTGGGGAGACCAGAAAGTGGCATGGTGGTTAAGGCGCTGGACTCCCACATGGCCCCCTGCAGTTCGAGTCCTAGACCTGGCAGCTTGTTTTCTCACTTTATCTCTCTCTCTCTCTAGTGAGCAAATGAAAACCCAATAATTATAATAATGAAATTAAATAATTCTTTAAAACAAACAAAACAGCCCACACACTGGGCATGTGTGCGTGCATGCCCAAAATCCCAAGAGGAGGCTGGAGGAGAAAGGACTGCAGCACGGCATCCCCCGAGGGCGGTTTCTCACTTTCCCTCTCTAGCTCTCTCTGGCGAGCTGATGCACTATATAGCAAAAAATTGAAAAACTTAAAAATAATAATAAAATGAGAAGAAAACAAAAACAAACGAGAAAACTTGAGGGCTGGGTGGTGGCATGGAAACCGAGGCAGCCGGGCCCCACACGGCCGACCGCATGGTTGTGCCTTGGGCTCAGCAGCTCGCGAAGCGCACTGGGCACGTGTGTGTGCGTGCCCTGAGTCCTGAGAGGAGGCGGGATTGCGGCATGGCCGTCCGTGCTGGCGGCTGCGTCCTCTTTCTCCTTCTCTTCCTTTCCCTAGTGAGTGCAAGCACCTCGTAACAAAATTTAAAAAAAGAACTTGAGGGGACTAGCAGGCGGCATGGTAGATAAGGTACTGGACTCCCACATGGCCAACCATGGTTCAAGTCCTGGACCTGGAGACTTGCTTTCTCACTTTTCCTCTCTCTCTGTCTCGCCCTTTCTCTGGTCAAATTAAATAATGATAATAATAATAAATTTAAAAATTAAATAATCTTTTAAAAAGTTAGCAGTAAAGAAGTATTAAAAAAAGAACTTGAGGGAACCAGCAGTTAGGGTAATGGCTATGTTGCTGGACTCCCACGGTTCGCGTCCTGGACCCAGTGGCTTAAAACTCATGCCGGGCATGTGTGCGTGCGTGCCCAAGATCCCAAGAGGAGAGTGGAGGAGAAGGGATGGTGTGACCATCCCCTCTGGGGGGTGATTTCTCACTTTCTGTCTCTATGTCTCTCTCTGTCTGGCAAACGCACATGCCCTATAGCAAAAACCTCTCAACACAAAAAAAAGAACTTGAGGGACAAAACGGTGGTCTAGTGGTTAGGGATCTGGCTCCCACGCAGCCACACCGTTCGAATTCCAGTCCCAGTGGCTTAGACTCTCCCGGTGCGTGTGTGTGCCGAGTCCCGAGGCTGGAGTGGAGGAGGGGTCGTGGTGTGATCGTGCCCACCGCTTTCGTGCACCCTCTGGCCAAAGCAAACAGACGACACTTGGGTCACTTACTGTAGAAGGGTCTCGAACTCAAATCACGGTAACTGTTTCTGTAAAATCTTGCTTTAGGGCTCGTGTGTGTGTGGGAGGCAGGGACGGAGGAAGCGCTCCCTGAAGGATGGCTACACGGCCCTTTCCTTCTGTCCCCCTCAGGTTTGGGGCATGCGCTTCAGGGACTTGAACAGCACGATCAGCTCTGTGGGGTCCGGTAGCCCTAACCACCACACCGCCTGCTGGCCCTGTAACTCTTTGTCTTTCAACGGAACAGCAGGTTGTCGGGGAAGTCACGAGGGTTTTTTTCTGTATTTCTATGCAAAAACGTGCCGCGACCTTCTTGAAGACCCATCAAGTGTAAGAGTAAACGCAGATGCCTCGGCTGACAGGCGCTCCGTGTTGTCGGCACGGTGTGAGCCTCCAGGACACGCCACGCGTGGTTGGCGTGAGCCCAGCCAGCCCACAGGTGCCTGCGCGGCCGGGACCCTCGGGTGGGGCCGGCCCACATGTGCTGCACTGTGCCGCCTCCAGCTCCACCCGTGACCCTTCCTGCCGGTGGGCCCTTTCCAGAGGGCAGCGGGACTTTGTCCCCCTCGGGCACAGTCTGTCGTCGGGGCCCTACTGCAGCTACTGCCTGAACTTGGGACTTCTGTCCGCAGTGGCTCTGCCTGTCTGAGCCTGAGCGGCCTCCCGCAGGGCACAGTGGCCTCTGCCTTGGCCATCCACAGCCCAGGAGCCAGCTCGAGTCACCGAGCCGGGGCCTTGTCTGCCTGCGGGGCTGGGCCGTTCCCTGCCCTGCTTTCAGGAGCACTGTCCGCGGTGGACTTGGCTCAGCAGGGCCGTGGCCATGGCTGCCACGCCGTGGGCAGGTGCTGCCTGCTCGTTTCTAACAAGTATGCTGGGAACGTGAGCTCTGCTAGCTCTCGAGCCCTGGACCCTGTGCAGGTGTACCCCGGGCACGCCCATACAGGGCGCCCTGGCGGAGCCGGCTGACACTGGGGTCCAGGCAGCCGCCCGAGCAGCGAGGACACTCGAAGGGGCAGGGTCTGCAGCTGCAGCCTTCCCAGGGCGCCCCCGGGGCACAGACCCCCTTTAATTATGGAGGGCGTGGGAGCCAGTCTGGAGGCAGTGTGGGGGGAGGCAGGCGCCTCTGTGTCCCACCCTCATGATGGCCAGCGTTCAAGTTCAGGAGGCTGAAGGTGGGGTGGGACTTCGGTCCCGGTGAGATGAGGCAGTTTAAACAGAGCAGTGATGGGGGGTCATGTTGGACTGAGGTCCTGCAAGCTGGCCGAGGACTGGCCGGCAGGAGCGCCCAGGGAAACCCAGTGAGCTTTGGGCAGCAAGAGAGTAGGGAGCCAGGACAGTGGCTGCTCAGGCTGGCGGGAGCAGCGCAGGGTGCAGGCCGTCCTTCCGAGTGACACGGCAGGGCCAGGGCTGGACAGACAGGAGCAAGGAAGGCGGTGGTTGGGGCCGCTGGGCTCCTGCAGGGACAGCCAGGAGGCAGGGCAGACAGCGCCCACCCACCAGCCCTTGACTTTGTATCGAGCTGGGGGTGCCAGCCTGGCCTCGGGCTGCTGCCCCCTGGTGGCCAGGGCCTCCTGCCCCTCGCAGGGCCCAGCGTGGGGCAGACCCTGCCCTCTGTCCTGCCCTGTCAGGGAGATGCCTCGGCCCCTTCTCTCCACGTTTGCCTCTCAGGGGGTCGTACAGAAAAGGCAGGCGTGGGGGCCGCAGTGGGCGTCCTGGTTAAGATGCTGGGCTCCCACTTCCCGCAGACCCCCGAGGCTCCTGCTCCTGCTAGGCAGACTGCAGGGCACTGTGTGGGGAGGTGCTTAGCTACGCGCCCACTGGGCCGGCCTGCTCATGCAGCTCCTCCCTGACCGACCCTCCCCTGAGGTTGAGCCTGTCTGACTTGGGGGGCACAGGCCCCCGATAAGGCTTGGCACTGGTGACTTCACAGTGCAGGGCAAAATCGATGGGCGGGTCGAGGGCACCTCCTGTGCAGGCCTGCTAGAAACCCCATTGCTGCAGGGGTGAGGGCCACAGGGTGCCGGCCACGTCGCAGTGAGCCATTGTTCCAGGAGCTGCTGCAGGAGTTTGAGCACGAAATGCAGAAGTGGGAATCCGAGTCGCGGGCACGCGCCGACAGCATGAGCGGCCTGGTCCTGTCCCACGAGCTCCAGGTAAGGGTGCCAACAGGTGTGAGAAGAGCCCTGCTCCTGCGTGTGGAGGGCCAGCTGGGTTTGGCAGGCATGCGGGTCCAGCGGTTGGTCACCAACACCGAGGACACACGCCAGCTCCTGATGCTGAGGGGTGAGGCCCTGTGTGGCTCTTCTGCCCCCCAATGGCAGAGGAGGCCGGACCTGGGGCCAGCGGACTGTCTGAGCGGGCAGATGGGCAGGGATGGCTGGCTCTGGGCCAGCAGCCACAGCAGCTCCCTGCAGGTTCACTTGCTGCAGGACGCAGCCTTCCAAGTGTGGCCCAGATCCTTGGCCTCAGCTCCCCGCAAGGTCACCCCCACCAGGCAGGGCCTGCCCGGCTCCACTGTGCCCCACCGGCCGTGGAACCAAGCCAGTGAGCACCCACCCCTTCTCACAAGCCCCCAGGGCAGTGAGGCTGGGCTGGGGGACTGCTAGGTGCCCGAGCAGGGCAGTGGTGGGAGCACGACCCCCCCACATGTACACGGGTCAGCTTGGAGCCCCGGCCTGCCTGGGGAGGCGTGACTTCTTGCAAGTCATCAGTGAGAGGAGAACGAGGGCAGGCTCCTAGCCGGCTGCTTAAGGAAGCTGGGTCCATGTGGCCAACGTGATTCAAGTCTGAGTGTGGTGGTTTGAGACGTGCTGGCCACATGTGTGCGTGTCCAAAACCCTGAAAGGACGGAGAGCTCCAAGGTGTGGCACTCCCACGGGGTGCTTCACTGCCGTCTCTGGGGCCTTGTGCTCCAAGAAGAGAGGAGCGAGAGCTGAGCCCTGGCGCTCCGCGTGGTGTCCTGTGGCCTCGTCCCACCCCCACTGCGCAGTCAGGAGGTCCCTCTCAAGGCCTGTGTGCAGCCGGCCCTGGAGGGCTAGGCCGGGATCCGCCACAGCCCGCCTCTGCATGGTGCGGTATTTGTGCGGGCGCTCACCAGGGAGGCGGTGTCACACCCCGCCCCTCAGCCCGAAGTTCTCATCCCATCGGGGCTTGGGGCCCCCACACGTGCCTGGTGTGTTTCTCAGGCCACTGGGTGGGGATGGGGCGCTACACTGCAGCCCTGGGCCCTGCCTCACGGCCAGCGCTCCGGACACGGAGGCACCTGCGGGACAGCTGTTGGGACGCCCGTCCTCAGCCTCCCGGGTCACGGCCCGCCCAAGGGGTGTGGTGCTGCTTCCTGACTTTGGCCTTCTCCTGGAGCTGACGTGCCGTGACCCAGTATCCCCTTGTCACCGTTGGCCTCTTTCGAAGGTGAAACTCCTGAACAGCGAGCTTGAGGCCATCAGAGAAGCCGGGGCCCAGGCCGCTGAGGGCCTGCGGAGGGCAGAGGCAGCCAACTCGGCACTGGACAGCGAGCTCCAAGCCCAAACCCGCGCACTGCGGGACCTGGAGGCCGCCAAGGATGCCAGGTGCGCCCCCTGGGGGTGGGCACATTGCAGGGCCTGGGCGATCCGAGCTCGGCCTCTGACCGGTTTATTCTCGCAGGATCAAGGAGGTGGAGGGCAAGCTGCACTCGGCGGCCCTGGCCAGGAAGGTGGAAGAGGAGGCGCTGCAGAGGGCGTGAGTGCCTGGTGTCCCCACTCGTGGCCCGACCCGGGGACAGCTGCAGCTGCAAGGCTCCGACCGGCTGTGCCGGCCGGGAGTTGGCCACAGTGGTCCGCGCCATGCTCCATTCTAGGGCCCTGCCCAGATTAGGCTTCTCAGTGCTCTGCCTGTAGGTGTGGGTGTGCCCACGTGTGTTCACACACGTGCTGCTTGTCAGTGCTCTGCCCGTAGGTGGGTGTGGGTGCCCACGCGTGTTCACACACGTGCTGCTTGTCAGTGCTCTGCCCGTAGGTGGGTGTGGGTGCCCACGCGTGTTCACACACGTGCTGCTTGTCAGTGCTCTGCCCGTAGGTGGGTGTGGGTGCCCACGCGTGTTCACACACGTGCTGCTTGTCAGTGCTCTGCCCGTAGGTGGGTGTGGGTGCCCACGCGTGTTCACACACGTGCTGCTTGTCAGTGCTCTGCCCGTAGGTGGGTGTGGGTGCCCACGCGTGTTCACACACGTGCTGCTTGTCAGTGCTCTGCCCGTAGGTGGGTGTGGGTGCCCACGCGTGTTCACACACGTGCTGCTTGTCAGTGCTCTGCCCGTAGGTGGGTGTGGGTGCCCACGCGTGTTCACACACGTGCTGCTTGTCAGTGCTCTGCCCGTAGGTGGGTGTGGGTGCCCACGCGTGTTCACACACGTGCTGCTTGTCAGTGCTCTGCCCGTAGGTGGGTGTGGGTGCCCACGCGTGTTCACACACGTGCTGCTTGTCAGTGCTCTGCCCGTAGGTGGGTGTGGGTGCCCACGCGTGTTCACACACGTGCTGCTTGTCAGTGCTCTGCCCGTAGGTGGGTGTGGGTGCCCACGCGTGTTCACACACGTGCTGCTTGTCAGTGCTCTGCCCGTAGGTGGGTGTGGGTGCCCACGCGTGTTCACACACGTGCTGCTTGTCAGTGCTCTGCCCGTAGGTGGGTGTGGGTGCCCACGCGTGTTCACACACGTGCTGCTTGTCAGTGCTCTGCCCGTAGGTGGGTGTGGGTGCCCACGCGTGTTCACACACGTGCTGCTTTTCCCTTTACAACTTTTTTTTCATACCCAGAGGGCACATGCACTCTCCAGAGACACAGAGGGAGCGGCAGGCCATGCCGCGGCCCTCCTCCAGTCCTCCGCCTGCTGGCACCCTGGGTGGGCACATGCCCTGCGAGATCTCCACCCCTCAGGGCCGGGGTTCAAAGTGGCAGTGGGCCATGTGGGAGTGAGGCTCCCATAACTCCTACACTATGTGGCTGGCCTTATTGTAGCCACTGTAAAAACCTTTTTTTAAGAATTATTACTTTTTTTTTAGAGTTCTTGATTTTGTTTTTGTTTTTGCTTGCTATAGGGCACGTGCACTCTCCAGAAACACAGAGAGAGAGACAGAGAGAGACAGAAAGTGAGAAATCACCCCCCGGGGGGGGATGGCCACGCCGCAATCCCTTTTCCCCCATTCTCCTCTCGGGATCTTGGGCACACATGCACACGCGCCCGGCATGAGTTTAAGCCACCGAGTCCTGGACCCCAAGAATTATTTTATTTAACTTTATTTATTTTAATTTGACCAGAGGGACAGAGCAAGAGAAAGAGAGAGAACGTGAAAGACAAGCTGCCAGGTCCGGGACTCGAACTGCGGTCGGCATGTGGGAGTCTGGTGCCCTTAACCACCATGCCCCTGCCGGCCCCTACTTCTAAATTTCTTAATTTACTTTTTAAAAATAAATGTTTTTCTTCTTTTCATGATAGAGCCCACTCGTTCCCATGTGAGGCAGAGGGAGAGGGCGGAGTGTCCCGGGGCCTGACTGCTATGCCCCCTGCCTGACTCCAGCCCGAGGCTGCGGCACGTGTGATGGCCGTGCGGGGCGCGCCCACCTGGCTCCAGCTGCTCTGAGCAGCGCATTCCT